GAACCAAATTTAACAGGGGGCGGAGGGGGGGGGGGATTTGGTGTGTGTGTGTGGTCATTGGTGGCTGAGCTGGACTTCAAACCCAGGATCTTGGCAGTACCAGCTCAGTGGCTAAACTTTTGAGACCACTCGGATACCCCATGGAAGAGAAGCTTCGTGTGCTTGTGTGTAATAACACCCGCCCTCTCTCTCTGTAACCAGATCCACTAGACACAACTTGCATTGATAGCGTGCCGATATCGCACAACACACGAACATTTAATTTACAGTCTATCTAGCCGAGGGTAAATATGAAGAAAGAAAAAAACAGTTGACCCCCACCATGCAAAAGAAACAAAGATTTATAATCAAATTAAGCCAATTGAAAAACTAAAACATCACTTGGAAATATCTGGTGGTCGCCAGATCCTACCGAGCAGTAAACATTTCAACAAAAACACAGGAATCTTACGAAGCAAATTATCGCCACCTTAATTCCCCCAAAACAAAGAGTGGGAAAAAACCCTGCAAACTTGGCTCACTGCAACACATTACCTTCAGCAAGTGCCGCTGTAAATAACAGGCCTGAGCACACGGTGAATTCTGCGGCTTGGCACAGAGATCCGATGTTGTGCACCGGCCATAAAGATCACAGTGGCAGCCGATAACACCCTGTATTGCTATCGATTTGGCATGGACCTATACCCACGGCACACTCCATAAATCAGGAAAATAGTACGCTCTATCAGCAGCGAGCCAAACACAATTGCCAAGTCGATGCAGCCGGGAACTTGCTAAGGAAGCGTCTAATGTTACCCTGGGGCCTGGTCTCGGCAGGGCATATCAGGCTGTGCCTTGGTGAGGTTTGAAAGAAAAATCTAGGATATGAATTATAACTTAACATTACATTTTTTTGCATTCGCAGCCAATTCTGTGGGCCGCTCTGTTGTTAAGATTAAGCAAATGACAGCCCAAAGAAATAATAAAAAAAAGCTAAGTGAGCGGTAGTAGTAAGTCTGAACAAGATTGATTTAATAGCTCTTTCATAACATTTTGGGCCTGATTTATGAATTTACACGCCAAAACAGCACAGAAGTAAAGGACCACATTAACTTTTTTAAATGAACAACAACTTGAACATTCTGTCTTCTAGCAGTGGCTGTAATAATACAGAGCTATGTTCATTAAGAGGCATTCTGTCATAATACTGAACAAATATATCAGCCATCTGCCCTGACAAAAAAAAAGTTAATAAAATCGGACAAACATTGGGTGTCGAAAGTTTGACTCTCATTGCAGTCAAGCCAAGGCACAATATTTTTTATTTTAAATTCCCGTTTGTGAACCTTATATGACAGGCACGTGCACACAAACACCAAGAGAAAGCTCTCATTTTAAGCCTCACCGAACTGTTCGGGTGAGTTCTCTTTCACAAGCCAATGGAGCATTTGAGGTGGTGGTGGGACCAGTACATTGTTTACCTAGCCACTGCAGCCTCCTTGTACTAGCTAAACATAGAACATCAGGGAAAGTATTTATTATAAGACACACGTACAATGCGCACATACCAATTTGAACTGCTGTGCATAACCAAGAAATAACCAATGAATTATCAAAATTGCAGCACAGCGCGAAAAAGCAACACATCGCCACGTGAACACACGCGCGCAGGAACACACCGCGTCGTAGCTCATCGAATGAATTAGCTAAATAAAATAAACTTAACGCTAAACAGCTGGATGGGTAGCGTGTCATTAAGCCCGTGTCACGCCTCCCTCTCTGGCGGGCAGATAAAGACTCTTTGCTGCCCGAGACCTATTTCTGGAGTAAACAGACTGTCTCCGAGAATCCGTGTCTGCCCTTGATTAGGTCCAATGCAGTCGGCGGAGTACAAAAGGATGACAGCTGAAGTGCAGGGATGCACTCATCAGGCAGCAGTTGGGGCGGGGGGGCGGGAGGGGGGGCTGGCTAAGAGGGTGCAAGGGGATGGGTCGCCAGCGTGGGAGGCTAAGGGCAGACTGCCCTCTCAAGTCAGATTCATGGGACACTCCGACAGTTGAGTTGATGTTTGCCCCCGTGGGTTCGCCGCAAGCGGACTGCAGTGGCACGGGTGTTCTGCTCTCTCTCTCTCTCTACGTACGCAACGGCCGATTAAAAATTCGTGAGCGCACCCATTGGCGTTGACGCGAGACGAAAAAAAAAAGCAAATCGGGCCCTTTCAAAGTTACGGCAGGTCATAGACCCTCGTCCTCTGCTTTGCATTTCATAGGAATGCTAAAAAAACTGCGAGTTGTTAATTATTTTTTACAATAATAAACTCGACGGCTAGCAGTGCTAAATGTGAAGGCCATTTGGCGCTGAAAGTTAACAGTGCTGTGCCCCCCTTTGGATTTGTTTCAATATTTCCAAGAGTTACTTCTTATGCTTTATACATCAAATCATTGGCCACCTTCATAAATAAAAGTCCCAGCTCGTGAAAAAAACAATCACGCTTTATAACTGCGACAGCAAGTCTGAAATATACTCGGGGATAAATAATTCCAACATAAAAGCCGTACAAATGTTGTCTTTAAAGTATCGCAAGTTATTACGGATTATTGGCAATGCCTCATCTCAGATTCATGCTTTATAGGCTTCTCCCTGTGCCTCCAATTTTTATTTTGCCAGCACAGTAACGAGCAGATAAATGGCGCATTTTGTTACGATGCCTTTGTGATGGCTCGGCTGACGAACGCCAGCCAATTGAAGCGGCCAATGTAGTTCATTAAATGATAGAGTTTGTTCAATTGAAGTCAGGATTATTATTATTTTTTATAAAAAAAACTTGGCAGTGGCCAGAAAGAGTGAGCACAATGACGACGTGGGTGAAAAATGAAGAGCAGTCAAACACAAAGAAATGTGCACGCCTCATTAATTCTGTTATAAAGAGTTTCCTTCGTGTAAAAAAATATATATCATTGCACAATATACCACCCCTTCTGTCAAAATCCGCTGATCAGCGGATGAAGGCCTCCCCCCCCCCTCACTCAACCCCAACATGCCATGCCAGCCACGGGGGTGGTTTCACCATACTTCACCATGCTCACCATGTGTCAGTGCGGGTTGGTGCATGGACGGCTTAAGACTGTTTCAGATATCGCTTCCCACCGGTGTTAGACCTGCACCACCGCTCTACCCTTGTACGCACGGATATTGCAGATTAGTATATACAAGTGACCATATCGAGAAAACAAAAAAACACGATTAAGTTCAAGTGATAATTACCAAACCAAACTACCCTTGTACGCACGGATATTGCAGATTAGTAGAAACAAGTGACCATATCGAGAAAACAAAAAAACACGATTAAGTTCAAGTGATAACTACCAAACCATACGGCTATTTATTTATTTTGATATGCTTGTCATTGTGCTTATAACTCAAGAACCAAAGGTCGTAGACAGCTGAGTAAGATACCGAGTGGAAGAAACACTTCCCCCTTACAAAATACAAGATTGACTCTGGAGGACATGAGCTCACCTGGAGATGAATGATTGTTTCTCAACGCTCACTACAGACGCCTTTTGACAGATAGTTGAAGTACCACATTTAAAAATCGTAAAAAAAAAATGTGTTTAATTTATGTATTGCTTGCCCATCGTGCTGCTTTGAACCGGAGAACCCAAAAGTAGCGCAGGGCTGAGTCCCTGTGTATGCGACTTGTCTCATTGATGTGGTTACATGAAGCCAAAGGCACCACACGGAAGTGAACTGTCGTGCACCTAGATCCGGAAACATCTTGCGTACGTCAAGTGCATCTCGATCACTCTCAACCTCTTCTAACCATTTCACTCAGAGTCAATAATAAGCAAACACCGGCAGACGCGTGAGCAAGCAATCCAGGGCTGCACTTTTACCTTGTCCAATAAAATGAAAAAATCTAGATTTTATAATTTTTAGTACGGCTCATCACAGGTGGTAACCGACACGCCAGACAAGGTAAAGATGCTGCGAGTGTCGATACCACCATATGGACAAATACCAGCGCGAAGCCAAGGCACACAACCAACAACATAGACAAAAAACACAAAGAAAGAGATTCTCCATATAGCCTTAACATACTGTTGATGCAAGTGCTGTTAGTGAGCGCTTATGAAGGCTGGCACGGGACATGAAGGAGTGGGTAGCCAACACCACACCCTACCCCCTTTGTCTCCCGAGACCCCCTGTTGACACACCGCACCAAGTACTTATTTGAGGCTAATTTGACCTAGGGATGACCCAGGACCTATTCAAGATAATTGTCACCGGCGTTTGGCCGTGAGCGGGAATCTAACTCGGGCCGCCGGATTTGTAGCACAGCGCACTAACCGCTACACTGCTGCTCCCCACACAATCTATTGTCCATTTTCATGGAAACTCCGGAGTTGGATTCAAGTGGGAATTTTACAAACGAGTGCAGTGCCTAACGCTTAAAACTGTGAAATGGCAATGCAGTTTGAACGCACATCAGGCCCTTTGGTTCTTTCGGTAAAGTCACGTAGGTATAAAAGAAAAGAAAAAACTTTTTTATTAAAAAAAACTTTTAATTAAAATTTTAATTTTAACATTTTTAATTAAAAAAAAATATACGAAAGTTTTTTTATTTTATACCTACGTGACTTTACCGAAAGAACCAAAGAGTATGGAACATTGCAGTTACAAAAACTTAAGACCTAAATTACACCACATCAGGCCCCGCGAGGCAAACGTGACACTGCACGCAGATGGAACACAGTTGACCGCATCGCGCTCTTTTGGTGACCGCTTCACGAGCTTCCAAGGCCGTCTGGAACAGCTCTTGCGTTCAATATTAGTAAAGCCACTGGAGCTATGCACTTTTAAATCGTCTAGACCGAAAACTCATTTCTTTCAAGCTGCTCTTTTGTGTTATAGTTTTCTGTTCTTCCCCCACACCTCCAATGAGCACGGTCGCCTACGTACGGTTCTGAAGAATTGAAACATACGGTAACGTACGTACACCGCACAGAGCGCTGTCATACCTGTTTCCCGAAGAGGTTGAAGCCGTTAATAGCCTCCAAAGCAGCTTTGGCCAAACCTACAGAACTGCAATGAAAGCAAGGCAAGCAGATCAGTGAAGAGAAGAGGCAATTCTGTGATGTACAGACAGTCGAATGAGCACAGGTTTAGTTGGACGAAGCCTCTTCTCATATGCGGAGTAGATGTTACTGCACGTGCGTGTAACGGTATGCACATAACAGAGTAGAGTAGCCGATTGTACAAGTGAATGCATGAATATCTCTACAAGCTGATCCAACATCTCTTGTCGCGTAAATTTATTTCAACCCCAATATGAAGAGATACTGTAAAATGTAAAATCATACATTTTCTAGGATGCAAGATATACTGTTAGCTTTATACATTGCTCCAGGTCTACATTAAACAATAAAGGCTTGCTAAATTAATGGACTCTTCCCTGGCCAAAATCAAAGCAAATTGTTTGCCTAATCATATAAACACATTCGCACAATCACATGAAACGCTAAACACTTTAATGAAAAGGAATTTAATCATACACCATCCCTCAATTCGATTAATGTATCGATTCTTTTCTAGGTCTCATTAGTATTGTTTCTCATTTCATCCCATCCCATTTGCAGGATAATGTCTCCTCCATCAACCGAAATGCAAAAGTTGCATTTAATTGCCATGAATGCGAATCTATGTATTCTCACAAGCCCGATTTAATGCACGTATCGTGAGCGTGAGACTCAAATCTTGACGATGAATTGACGCACTGTCACACGCCAATTAATAAGCCTGCGTGTTCGTTACGCCGAGAGCTCTTTTCGTGGCGAAACCCTCTTCCCTTGCACGACACCTCGGCACTCGACTCGGACAGAATTAATGGCACTGGCGAAATTAAGAGTCCAGTGCGCGTCACATCACTCACATTCCCTTTTCGCGTGCGCGCGCGTACTGCACAGAAACAGCGGAGCAGCGTCGCACGTCACCCAAGCCTTCGCGATCAGCTTCCGCTACTGCTGCTGCCCGCTGGTATGATGGAGTTGGGAGGAGCAATGTTGCATTTGGTGTCGTTTGTGGCGTGCCCTTTCCGAACGTTTTAATTTTCCTTCGAGGGATACGCGCACCGGTAAAAGGCACCTGGTAATTGGCACCGGGCTGGGAAGCTGCCCGTCGCGCACGTCACATCCAGTGTCACGTCCGGTGCCGAGGACCGGGAATGCTCTTGGTAATTACATTCGAGATGAGTTCACACGCAGCAGATGAGGACAGCAACCGTGCGCCACTAAGTGGCGGTGACATCACCAAGCTAGATGCACTTTGAGGCCACGTGAAGTGTTGAAGGGTTTGCTTATAGGTCACGGGACAGACTCCAGTACTATGGGTCACCTAAGATGACTCGCAGATATGCTCCCCCACCTGTGCTCGACACTACACCAACTTGCTGCATTTTAGTCACCCAGGGCTCTACTCAATGTTGTGAGCATCGGTCTTCCTCACTCCATTGTTGTTGGCGGGCGACTGCTTCTTACTGCCCAGTAGCGCATTTTAAGAGCCCACTTCACAAAGGCTTATCTTGACAATGCTGGTACCAATCTTTCGGTCAGACGAATAAGCTCCAAATCCTCTCATGCCACATCCTCTCATGCCACATTAGCCCATATTTTCTCTCGCGCCCTCTATCTAGACCACATAAGCTGCTTGGACACACAATGGCTAGGCATGAGGACTACATAACTCAACAAATGCAGCCTCATTTGATAGAAGAAGATACTGTATCGAGATCTTTCAAGGATCTGTGAGCTCCTTACACAATCCAGTCTGGTTGGAAACAGGATGGATCTTAGGCAACCCAGCCTGGTTGTTTCAAGGCGGTTCAGAGGGAGTAACTGTGGCTGAGAAGACCTGTTCCGTACGGAGCATCAGGCCAGACAGCTTCCAGAGCAACATCCAAATGATTTGAAGTGAAACCTCTTGCTGCAAAACAGAGCGCCGGTAATGAGCATACTGCCCAAGTCTGGGATTTCCTCCACTCTCTCCACAATTGCCCCATTGCTCATATGTAGAGTTGGTGGGGTGGAGTATTTGTTGACATAACATAACCAGGCAGGTGCATTTGGTGAAGCTGATGGTAAGGCCCTGCCTCTAAATGGCACGTTCCAGGTTCTGGGTAGAAATATCCTCTCACATGGAAGTTACCAGACCAGCAGCATAGATAACATGATTGTCCAGTAGAGTCATCCCTTGACTGCACCTGGGATTCTATCGGCCTACCATTGTATCTGTAACAGATACAAATTCGTCTGATAAAGCCATGGAAAGCTTCTAGAACTTGAAGGTCGAGTAATGTAGGGGCTACAGAACATCCCTATAGCACACAAAGGTGAATAGGATACGGCTCCGACTCTCAGCTCCGTAGCTTTACCCTGGCTTGCCCACCATCATGAAGGTCCTTCATTATTCTGAGCACGGGGTCAGGGACCGCCACAAGCATGACGAATAACTCAAGCCCTGGCTTCTTGACCAGGTCGAGAGACTTACGTCCTATTGAAATTCCCTACAGCTCTGCTGTAGCAGACGGACAAAAAAATATCACATCTGTACAGCACTGCCCCAGCCTGAAGCCACAGTGGGGCTCCTCAAACTCCTGCTCTGCATGGCTGGCATGGCAATATTGCATAATCCTTGCCAGGGCCTTACCTGACACACTGAGGAGATGCCTCAGTAGTTTTTGCAATGAATACGGTAAACCCCCTTCTTCAACGACACAAGACTCTCAGAACCTCCGAGCATAGGATGCGATAAGCCTCCTCATATCAACGATAAGGTAAACATGAGAACAAGTATAACCCGTAAAAACAAAGTTTTTCACTATAAATCCTTTATATGCGTGGCGGCTAGAGTCCTCTCGTCCTCTGGCTTGAGATGGCTGCCACCTATAGGTCAGATGATTGCATTGCACCATTAAGCAATTGGTAATTAAATAAAATATTTTTTGTCCTAATAAGTGTAAAATTTTGGGAAAAAAATTTCACGAACATTAATTGTCACGCACAACGAGTCTGTGTGGAAAATGTCAGCTCGATTGGATCACGGGAAGTGGGTTAAAAAACGACCGAAAGATTTGCACGGTCCTAAGCAAGCAAGCGAACTTAATATAAAGGATTTAAAAAAGAACCGACTCTTGATAGCAATTAGTCTCAATTGTGATCAATGTATTGAACTGCTGTGGAGATGAGTTACTAGTTCAATGCCTACACGTACATATAACAAGATAAAAAGCCAGTCTAACCAACGTTTACTAAAAAAACGGCGGTCAGTCACATCCATAGAGTGCATGGACCTGAGTTTCTGAACTTTAACAGACTGTGGCAGCAAGTGATCTTAAGAAGCACCTATAAAGGTCGATATGGCACATGAGACGGGTGCATTTGTATCTCTAGCGATGATGTTTACGCACCGCACGAGGTACACATTTAAGGCTAAGTCGACCTAGGAAGGGCGCAAGACCAGTTCAGATATATGTCACTGGCGTTGGCCGTGAGCGAGAATCGAACTCGGGTCGCCGGCTTCGTAGTGCAGTGCGCTAACGACCGCGCCATGACTCCCCACATGCTTTATACATACCCACTCTAACACAAACACACTCGCACGAACATTATAGTCTCACAAAATGAATGTGCCCCCACTGAGATTGTAAATATTTTATGACTGTTCCTGCACTCACTGCAAATTTCCGTGTAAGCACCAACTGCTACATGTGACGGGCAGCAGTATGGCAGCGTTGGGTACAAAAGGGCCTGCTACTGGAGACGAAAGCCACGGACAGAGGGCGTGGGGGAGGCACACCTGGCCTCAGATTCTAAGGCTCGCTGCAGGCCAGAGGTTTCTGCAAGATGAACCGAGCAGTTCTTCACGTGCCACGCAGCCTACCACCACCACCGGGAAAGGAGCCGTTGAAACTTGCTCTCCGACTCATTCCTTTTTTTTTTTGCCCCGAAATATAAAATTCACCACCTTTCCATAATAAAGCTGTACTTAAACTGAATGTGTCAAAGGAAATGCCACTCACTCACACAAGGGTAACACTGAAATATCGAGTAAAACAGCCAGGCTTTGGCAGAGACTAAACTCTGCACTTAGTGTGTATTTAGTTCAGCCACATCGGCTATTAAGTGGTCATGAATGGTCTACAAGTAAGAAATTATTGAAAGCTAAGTAAAAGCTACTCTTAGTGGCAATTTATTTTTAAACGGCCAGAGAATTAACTTGTTTCTGTTTCTTGGCAGCCATTTTCCTCGCAATCAAAATGTGAGTGTGAATGTTCGGAGTCTATAATAAAGGCACATAGGAATTGAGGTGGTACCTCATCAGGACACTGCACTCCCCTTTCATTACAAGTTATGCAATGCACACAATTGTGTGTGAAATAAAATTTGTTTTAGACACACTAATGGTACGCACATATAATTTCAAAGAAAAAACTCTGAGAACTTTTCTCACTTTTTTACGTCACTGCTAGAGAACCCATATATAAATCCTTTGTGAAGGTTAATTAAAATCAAGTGCTATTTATCGTAATGTATACGAATAAAACAGGGACATGTCTTGATGAAGTAAGAACTCCTCTTCTCCACAACACTATTACCCATGAATCCTACTATTTATAGAAAGCTATAGAGTTAGTCCCAATTATCCGTGGCCCTTTTCTTCCTATCATCTGGACATGGATTTCATATCATCCTCCAAATTTCCATGGACTAAGAAGAGTTGCGTGGCAAATGAATTATAATTATCCACAGGTATTGACCATCCCTATTCCATTGCATGCACTAAAGAAAAATGTCATTACTCCAATTATCCACAATTATCCACAATTCTTTTCATGCATAAGAGTTCATTGGAAAAAATACTCCGATTATCTGAGAAAATGTGCAAATATTTCCCCAGAGATAAGTGGAGTACATATTCACGTAAAAGGGAAATAATAAAGTAATACAAATAAAACATAATTAAATTAAATTCTCACGACGTTTCGGCCGCAACGCAAGCAGCCGTCCTCAGGTGAAGAAACAGAGCTGTCGGAAAGACAGCATCCTAACAGCTCTGTTTCTTCACCTGAGGACGGCTGCTTGCGTTGTGGCCGAAACGTCGTGAGAATTTTATTGCATTATGTTTCATTTTATTATTTTATTATTTCCCTTCTACGTGACTTTACCGAAAGAACCAAGAATATGAATCCCTGCAGTCACGAAAGCTTTAAATCGAAAAAGTGGAGTACATTTGCGGATAATAGGATCTACTATATTGGTCCCCCACACGGCCACGCACAAGAGTAATGATTCTGTAACAATCAAGTAATATGAGTATTTGAAAGGGATAAACACTAAAACATTGTAGTTAACTTAGTAATATACATTTTTTAAAAATACGGCTCTGGTAACAACGCCAGGTTTGCTCACAACAAACATGCAATAGATTAAATTAAATCCACGCTGGAAAATCACGTACGACACTGCCGGGGAATAAAGCGGTCAAATATAGCCGACGCAGAGGATAAACAAGTGTGCTCTTGTGGGCTGTCACAGCAATTGGTAGATACTAAACAATAAACAATGTCGAATTTTACACTTTGGAGTTAAGCCTTTGTATCCCGGGCTAAGCTCTTAAGACATCAATGGTTACTTTTTTTATATAAATGGCATCAGAAGAACAGGATGCATCCATATGAATAACAAAACCACATTTGGGATAATACTTGCATCGGTATTTGACGTCGTTCAAAGGGAAGGTAATGGGATTAGCATTATTTTTTGATGCAACTTCCATCATCTTAAAATGCGGTCTATGCAAACGCAGGCTTACATGACAACAATTGCAGCATGTTTAACCCCATACGCACCAAAATGCGAATACGGAATGGCAATGTGTGACACAAACTTTAGACTGTGCTGTGGAGTGTTTCGGTGCACCTTACAAACTTGCAACTTGGAGATTTTGCACTGTACATGCACGTGCGAGTTTAAGGTGGTCCCGAATGTTAACATGAGTAATAATACACGTTTGCCAAGGCGTTTTATTAATCACTCAAATAAAATGTACTCTTAGTCCATTGCTGATTGGAGCTCTGTACCTATGCTGCCCAGCATCATTTGTTTAAGCAAGACAACCTTGAACAATATCATGGGACCTCCTTTGCCAGTAGCAAAATATACTAATAGAGGTTTTCCCCTTTTTTCTGGCAACAAAACTGACACCTTTTGTAAGGAATCATGCTTACATTAACCACAATACTTGCAGTCAAATGCCATATGAGACTAGGCTCCAAAGAAAGCTGTCTCTGGTGTGGACCAATCAGTTTCAAAGACAATGCATAAATTATCAGAGTATTGTTTTTTGTTTGCATTTGACTGCAAGTATTGTGGTTAATGTAAGCATGATTCCTTGCAAAAGGTGTCAGTTTTGTTGCCAGAAAAAAGGGGAAAAACCCTATTAGTAAACCTTGAACAAGTTTGGATATAAATGAGTCTTATCAGTTCTAGATTTGAAGCATTCGTGACTGCAAGGATTCATATTCTTAGGTTTTTTCGGTAAAGTCACGTAGGTAAAACATCAAAATTAATGAAAATAAAATAAAATAAAACAAAAATCACGACGTTTCGGAGGCAACACAAGTCTCCGTCATCAGGTGGGACCGTCACAGCCGAATTAGCTGCATCAAGTGAGGCAATGATTCAAGATGTAATCCCTTATAAGCAAGTTAAAGGGGGGAGGAGAGGGGGGGGCTCATTGGCTACCACATTCTGATGAGCCATCCCCTCTCCTCCCCCCTTCAACTTGCTTATAAGGGATTACATCTTGAATCATTGCCTCACTTGATGCAGCTAATTCGGCTGTGACGGTCCCACTTGATGACGGAGACTTGTGTTGCCTCCGAAACGTCGTGATTTTTGTTTTATTTTATTTAATTTTCATTAATTTTGATGTTTTACCTACGTGACTTTACCGAAAAAACCTAAGAATATGAGTCTTATCAGCATGGCTGAGGCCCATTACACCAATGTTGTGTACCTTCAATGGAGGCTTGCCATTCGGGGCTAATTATAAAGATTATAAACTCCACACACAACCCTCCGCCCTCCTCTTCCCCCCAACCCCAGCCCCCAACCATTCCTCTCCCCTCATCTCTTCTTCCCCTATGCCCGCAAGCGCTCCGTGCCTTTCCAACGTATTCACCCGCGGGCCGCCGCAGCGCGCCTTGTAGCGAGACAATCACGACAACCACGTGCGAATTGCTCCGCGTCACAACGGCCGCGCGGGGCAGAGGGAGGGAGGGCCCCTGTGCCGCTCGTAGATTTCCGGACGGTGTTGTTGTGCGCGAAGTGTACCTGGAGTGCAGCTCCGTGCTGTTGTTGTTGTACTTGCTGCCGCGCTCCCACATTCCGTAATCCGGCACGCGGTAAGCCCTCTCAACGCAGTACACCAGGTTCTGAACAAACGCGACCTTCCGAAACAAGCATCGGGGCGACAAAAGTTAAACTTTCGATCGGACGTGCCACCTCAGGGGATGACCTTCGCAGATCTGCGCAGCTCAGCGGGGGCCCGATTCTGATCAGTGCTTGTGTGGGTGACCAAAGCCTGAAATGACTTGCCTCCAGGGGTACTGGATTGTTCGTTAAGTACACTCTCTTCTTCCTCCCTGGGCATCAGCTCAGCCTATGCCACAGAGCCGTGGCTAGGGGGCACTGTGCCACGTAAGAGACGAGACACCATGAAGAGTATCAGGATCTAAAGGTTTGTCTTATTACAGCGCTGGTATCTCTACTTAAACCGCCGCCCCCCCTGAGGTTCCGTAACATTTATTTTCCAGCGAAGTTTTTTTTACTTAACTGCTAAAAAAAAACCGTGACTCTTATCCTTTAGGGACTCATATCCTTTCGAGTATGAAAGAAAATGTGTAAGCAGCCCAATTGTATATAAACAAAAATATAATAATCAGGGAAAATTCCACTTCTATTTCCAAATCATGTTTTTTCTTTTTCTCTCCTCTCTCTAGCAAACAACAGTTTATAAATCCAATCGTGTGGAATTTGGCGAAAAAAGGGAAATGAAAAGAAACCCTAATATTACACTTAAAGTCGTTTTTTGTCTTTAAAATTATAAATAAAACTGGGCTATTAATAAAATAAATCCACATCATCGCAGGTAACGAGGTGACTGGTGCTGACATTTTATTACAATAACAATTATGTGGCACGCTGTGCGAACTCATTACCCCAAATTCCAGGCTTACATGAATAGCAGACAGAGGATTACGCATCAAGCACACAATTCATAGGCGGTGATTTTCTGACATAAAAGCCATTACAAAGGCAATTACTCTGCATGCAGAACAGCATAAAATGCCACCTCCATCATGGGGAAATATAGCAGCAAAAATGTGAATACATTTTTTTCATGAAGATGTTACAGTGAATAAAAAAGGACCAATCCAAAGCTCACAGTTTTACCATGAAGTTAATAAAAAAACAATTGTTCTGCATAAGCATATATTAAAGTTTTTAGTTACGTGTGCACATTTGCATGTGAAGTACGTGTACATGTGCAATAAGCATAAGACAATGTATGCATTTGTTTTCTTAGCATTAATCATGAATCATACCGAATAGAGTACCCAATTAGTTAATTGTTTTGGATGGCTCTCCCAACAATACCGGTGTGCTGAAGCGGTAATAAATCAGCAGGTTTGTTGACGTGACGACTTTGTTAATTGACTGTGTCGGGTTGAGCAGGGTGTACGACAAACATTTTACATTTTACTCGCACGGCGATCTTAACCAAAATTCCACGATGAATCATAATATCGGTCACAAAAGCTTATGTGTTAAATGTATTGCCGTGTTTGCAAGTAAATATTTTTTTTTATTACAGAAGTCCATAAGTAACACGATTAACAGCAATTTTAAACTCCTCAAACAGAAAATAAATATTATATAACATTGAATGCAGACGTATGAGAATACTTTGGTATGCAAGAATGTCCATGATTGTGGGAATGTGTTATGAATTCAAATTAATAGCAAGTGTGATATGAACGGCTATGTTTATATATAATATACTTGATAAGAAATGTTCACATTTAGCCATTTTTACCTCATCTGTGCTGTAGATGATCTGAAGGCCGGATGCAATCATTTCCACCAGATAGAGGAGGAAGAGTGACACAGCATCAATCTAGACAATGTTGTTTTTTTTTAGAATGCAAAATGAGGGCAGGGGATGAGGGGGGGAGGACACGGTTAAAAAGTATTACATCTCACAAATAGTATTTTGTAAGGACCCTGGCGACAAGTCAGGGCTGCGACTGCCACGATCAATTTTACAAAACGAGAGAAATGCCGAGGTTCTGTCACGGCCAAAAAGCAACGGCTGAAGAGGCACGCAGGAAGGCAGAAACAAATTAACTTGATCTCATAAAACCACGACCAAATCATCGACCAACGTGTAGTAGCAGTTGCCCGAATCAGATTTGGCAAGCGGTATGCAAATAGAATTGCAGGTGACACGGCACCGCTGTGTAGTTGAGATATACACGATGAAAAAAATCATAGCGGGGATTTAAAAATGTCAATGGAGTGCATTTTACACACAATCACTAAAGGGAGGAGGGGCGGACGCAATGGGCTGCAACGGCACCGCACAGCGGTGTGCCTTCCTGCAGGCCAGCACACAATTTCACATTGGTGGTGACGTTTGCACTTTGCTGGCAGTGGGCTCGGGTCCCCGAGTGCACGCGCGATTGGTTTCTCGCGAACGCCGACCCCCGACGGAAAGGGAAAACAAAAACGGGGACAACTCCGGCGCTCGCCGTGACTCGTGCATAAGCCACGATTTTGCGTCGTATTGCGCCGAGAAATGCACGAGTGGAGACTTTGGCTATGCGAAATCAAATCTTAAACAACGAGATGATAGGGCTTGACAGCAAAAAAAAAACACGTGAATGCAAGTGAAGCCAACGTCTGAGAAACATTCTGACCTGTCAAGGCACATGGGTATTGAATGCAAATCCTGTATTTGTCACCGATGATACTATACTCTAATATAAGCGTACAACTTTATCTGTGATGAACGCTGCACTTTCTGTCGTTTTCATGCAGGGGGCGCTGCAAACCTACGTGCCCCCTGCATGAACGACGGGGGCGCAGGGACAGACGTTCGATTACGTTGCCATCGATCTGCAGACGGCGGTCTTATCGCACGACCAGCTCTGTGTCGCCTTATCTCGATCCCGCAATCCCAAACAGGTGAAAGTCCACATCGAACCGAACCCCCAGCAAGGCCATCTACTTAACGACAAGAGAAAATTCACACTAAATGTCGTTTTCAATCAAGTCTTCCAGATGTAAAATGAAATAAGCTTTGAATGAAGAAATCAAATTATCTAATTCAAAACATAACACAATTCAAAGATGTTTCATTTTAAAACTGCAAAACGGAGCATCGGGTGCTTGCGTGAATGCGTCGTTCGTTTGCAAAACATTTTTCGTGACTTTCCTGGCCGAAGGCCGTAAATGGTTGTTCAGGGGCGCCGCAGTCGCCCCTGAACAACCCCTAGTAATATATATCTGTCTAGCCTTCAAGTCAACAAATACTCTCTAAAATTCCACATTAGGAGTATGTAATACATTTGTAGAAATGTGCATCTGTTCCATTGGATTTTCCAATGCACCTGTTTTCATGTTGGATGATAACGCATCGCGCCCATGCTCACGGTGTTATGGCTAAGCTCTGTGATTAAAATGTGATCGATTTGAGTAAGTGTCTGGTTATAGTTTGGTAAAATGTTTTCTGTTCTATGGAAATAATTGTTTCGTTTTAAATAAACTCAATCGATGCATGCATTGGTTTTTTCTCTCGTGGTTATTTTATGAATGATGAAATCAATTACGGAGAGAGTGAGAAATGTTTTCAGTTCTCATTTATACATTCTTGAACAAACCCACTTACCCTGCCCAGTGCCCACCACCATTTCTTAATCCCGGTGGATAATTCACAGCCTCAAGGGGCAACAGCATTCGCTCGCATCTACCTATGTGTCTCCACCATCAAAACATCTACCATGCTCAAAAGTTGGCAGATATAATCATTGCTATTAGCCTAAAAAAACAACTGTAGCATTGTTGACATTTCAATTGAAGCTTTCAAAAGTTACACTCATTTCGAGCTAAACTGAAAAAAAAGGGCACGGTGATCGTCGGGAGGGGGCTGAACAAACATCTGCTAAACGTGAGCTAAGTGAGAAGAAGTGAAATCTACTCAACAGTCACGCCCAGTATTCCTGACCGCTTCCATCACGGCGAAAAGTGTTTCCCAAATAACACGAAAGGAAATGTAATGTTGCCGCACCTTAAGGTGGCTTTTCTATCCACAGCAGAATGGCATTTGATACAGTCTTCTGAAGGGTGGTTATTAGCAAATGAATACCCTTCCAGACACCCCCACTAGAGACGGCCTGACAGAATGTCAGCCTGAATAAAAGAGCACAGCCCCTCCCGTCCATCTGTGCTCTTCAGGGCCAGGTACGGGCAGAACAAAGGGTGCAAGTGGGAGGGCTGACAGAGAGCTCTCCGGCCTGGGTAGGACAGACAGCTGCCACGGCGTGCCATTGATTGGGCAGGTCGATACGAAGCCGGCGATGAGCCACCTCCCAATCCGTTGCGGCCCTGTTGCACTTGAGCCCTGAGCGAGGGGAGGAGCTGGCTTTGAGCCTTATCAACGAGCGATACTGACAACGATCCGCAACGCGACTAATTTCACTCCCACAAAAGCGAGCGCATCAACGGACGTGTCATGTTTCGGAGCGAGGAAACAGAGCGGCGATTTGTAGTAGAATAAAGAAATAAAGAGCCGGGCGCTATCGGTTGCGAGAAGCGCTTCGTTTTTTTTGCGAGGGCATCCGATAAGATTTGTATTCTCGGCTGCACCCCACTGTTTGTGCTTGAGAACATGAATTGTTATTGTAACATTTAGGATAGGATCCCAACGACTTTGGGAGGATCAGTGCAGATTCAGATCTGTACGCTGCAGATGATAAAGCAGAACAGGGTTCTTTCGTTTATCTCAAATTAATTCTTGTTTCTGTACAAAAGGAACTTAAATGACCTATTTTTTAACCCAAAAGCTCATGGTTATAGTATGTACATAACTGTTTGTCATTTAATATTTTAAATTCTAGTTTACAAAAAAATATATAAGTAAATGTGAGCTATAAATTGTTTCGATTTAAAGCTTTTGTGACTGCAGGGATTCATCTTCTTGGTTCTTTCGGTAAAGTCACGTAGAGTGGAAATAATAAAAAAATAAAACATTATAAAATAAAATTCTCACGACGTTTCGGCCACAACACAAGCAGCCGTCGTCAGGTGTTTATTATTTTATTATTTTATGTTTTATTTTTATTATTGTATTATTTCCCTTCTACGTGACTTTACCGAAAGAACCAATAACTATAAATTGTTGTTTTGATTTAATATTTAACCGCAACCTTAAAATTGGTGTCAGTTTAATTGGCATTCTAGGCAACTCAGAGGACAATATTCATATTTAATTGCAGCACAATCAATACATACTTGCCACTGGCTTATCCGACAGCACCATTATCAATTATGAAAGTCAAACCGTGTGCACGTAAACTGGCACTGTCAAGGTTAAGTACCTGTGGAGTAACACCAGCCTCGTGTTTAACCGTACGTACAATCGACCTGCAGTCCGACTCATTTGGAGAAATCATTCCGGGGCATGTGTCGGCGGAAGCTACGTGGAATCCGTCCCAGGATGTTACCTGAAGGTGCCCGTACTCCTTGTAGGAGTACACCACATCGCCGGTCTCCGCGTTGAATATCGAGTGCAGACACTTGAATGGGCATGGATCTTGCTTGAATTGCTCCACCTGCAAAGACAGGGCAGCAAGAAGAAGCTTGAAGCCTACAATTTTGCTTCATGAACAGCTGTATGGCACTTAAAAAACATTATAGTTATGGAGTGTTAAAATTATTTGTAATCTATCAATGAAAAGTGCTATATAAAAATGTATTACTCTGATTATTTTAAGATAAATGATTTTACTTGGGCTACCCCAGCATGTGTATGTGCTGCTGTGGGGAGCGTTAGTGTCGCGGTTAGCGTGCCGCGCTTCGAACCTGGCGACCCGAGTTCCATACCCGCTCACAACCAACATCGGTGACGATTATCTGAACCAGTTCTGGGGCTCCCCTAGGTCGACTCAGCCTCAAATGAGTACCTGGTGCGGTGTGTAAACATCCCCACTGGGAAGACAAAGGCGGCCGGGCGTGGTTCTGGCCACCCACCCGCTCGTGTGCCGTTCTGGCCTTCATAGGTGCTTGCTAACGGCACTTGCCCCGACAGTCTGTTAGGGCTATATGGGGAATATCTGTCTTTGTTTCACCAGAAAGGAAATTCCTGTCTTTCTCGAAGGCCTGAGATGAATGCATGTCAAGCACGAGCACTTGCCTTAAAGCTCTTCACCACGACGTGTGAATCGAGGTGTACATTATTAAAATGCAATTGTTAAACTTCAGGTTTTATACGTGGCAGATAATAACTACAATACGTTTGAGTGCGGCGAGAGTTAAACCGGGATACAAAGGTTACAAAGGTTTTTATTATAATAAGTTGGCTCATGATGCAAACAATATTCTCAGTCTGCATTTCATTTAGCCTTTTTTTGGGTCAATATGGGTTTTGTTTTACTCCTCACCCATTGCAGAAGTTCTTTGTTGGAGGAATTAAAGGTGTGAAAGTGAACATACACACTGCATTGGCACTGCCACGCAGGACTGAAAACTGTAATTAATTTTTTGCAGACTTAGTGCTCAAGATCACGCTGTAGTTTAGACCCTAATCAGTTTACTCGGTGAGAGCACTCCACCGCGTTTGTGAGGAATATAGAAACAGGCCTCGTTAAAATCTCCCCCCATCGAAAACAACACGCAGACGCATGGAAATATTACATTGCCCTTGGGTCCAAAAATGTACATCGATTTTTTTTTTCTCACACCGATGCACTTCAGACGAGCTTTAACAAAAATAGCCGAGTGCGAGTCTAGCTTTGTTTTAATTACGCTTCGCGCCCGTGCTCACGGTGTTATGACTGTCGAGGGTGAATTTCAACCAGATGCGTGGAATCTCCGACAAGCAGACCACGCTTGGCGATAAACTCGACACCGTTTCATTGCTCTCGAAAAGCCATCCGCGGCTTTGAAAGGGAGAGAGAGGAGCGCTCGCGTTATTTATTTATTACACTTTCTAATCATTCACAACACGTACTTTTATTTTCTCTCTCTCTGTTTTAAACAAACACAAGAAAATTGAAACGGATGGCTCCGATGTAAACACTGCCCGGGAAAAGGACAGGTTGACATTTTTATTTAATTTCCCTTGCCAAATTTTGTATTTTAAGGTGTACAAAGATTCTTGTCACTCTGGGCTAACGGGATTGGGTAAATGTCAGGGGTATCATTACGGGTTTAGTGAAGGCTCCTGCACAGGCTCCGTTCGCCCCCCTCCCAGCCCCGACGCTAAAGTATTTGGGCAAACCAGGTCGCTCTCTCTCCACCTCCGCACAGCAAAGACGCATCGCATACATTAAAGCGACCGTCTGTCTCCCCGCGCTGCCTGTCTCTCTCTCCCTTCACTTCTCCCTTCTTCACCCCCACACAATGCCCTCCGCAACCACCTCCCAAAATATTTTTTTTCCAAATACTCCCGCAGCCACCCCACAAGCCCCACCCCGCCACGACCACCTCGACCGATGCAAACGCCACAGTGCTGCCCCGGTGCCCCTGAGAATCGCCGGTCTTGGCGACCAGCATGCGCGCACGGGCGTGCACACGCGTGCGCACACTCGCACGCAATGTGCTGGCGAGCCTGAGCTCGGACACCTTAAGCAGCAACGTCAGCAGCAGCAGCACCAACAGCAGCAGCAGGAGCGTGCCCACACAGAAGCGAGTGTTCGCAGACAGAACACTGTCTGCTTTTCCCAGCGATGTGCCCCAAAGACAATGATGAATAAACAGAAGCTGTGCGGCGCACTTTGCTTGCTATTATCATATCCTTCACTGGCAAGTTGCAGCGCACGCGTAGTGTTTCATGTGGTGGTGGGGAGACGCAAATGAGGAAATTCTTTAGCCCGAGCCTTCCCATCATTTACCAGTGAACAAGCCAGTGGAACTAACAAATGCTCTTAAGAGCAAAAACTCGGGCCTCTTGCAGAATGTGAAGCACGACAATGATTTATGAAATACTTGGTAAAGTGCATAATGAATATAATACACTAAAGAGACAGTCTTACATGCAAAAAAACTTATTTTCCTTACTGTCTACTTTGGAAGGCTGACGAGAACATTTATAATGGGGATGGTGGGGGGGTACTTCCACTGGAGCCTTTCATTAAATAAAGGAGATGACATTTAGTTTTTATGAATTATATTAAAAGAGCAAAAGATGCTGCAGAGATTTAACAAAAGAGACCACCGAAAGGTTAATATTTGCTCAACCGAGCCAATGCAAAATTTCGTGAAAGAAAATGGTGAATTTTTTATGAAGGCCTCAAAAGTTTCCTCAACTGTGGCTTTTGTTAGTCCTCGCTTTGATCAAACTGATGAAGCGAATCGATGTTTCTGCAGGTAAAATAAAAAAGCACGAGTGTTTTTTTTTTTTTTTGCTCATATGAATTTGAAAAAAAGCACACTCATTTACTCAGTGACCTTCACGAAATTGTAATTTTATTTGAAATCTCACAAGGGTCCCCCCCTTACCGTCTGGGCACCCGAATCGAAAGCCTAGAGTAGCAGTGGAATACACAGTGTGCCTGGGATTGGGAGTGACATTTTTAAGGTTGTATTTGAGATGTAATATCACCCCCGCCCCCACCCACTCAAGGGGGTAACAAAACATCGTACAAACAAATTCGGAGATGCAATCAGGTGAAATATGGAAACGATAAGGTCGTGCTCATTAAACACAAAGTGCTCGCCACAAAGGAACCACAATACCTTGCTGATCTCGTCAAGGAGGATAAACAGTCACGCAAAGTCCGGTCATCCTCAAAGCGACTTTTGGCTAACCATCGAATAAGTATAACCCGTAAAAACAAAGTTTTTCACTATAAAGCCTTTATATGCGTGGCGGCTAGAGTCCTCTCGTCCTCTGGCTTGAGATGGCTGCCACCTATGGGTCAGATGATTGCATTGCACCATTAAGCAATTGGTAATGAAATATAATATTTTTGTCCTAAAAAGTGTAAAAATTTTCAAAAAAATTTTCACTAACATTAATTGTCACGCACAACGAGTCTGTGTGGAAAATGTCAGCTCGATTGGATCACGGGAAGTGGGTTAAAAAACGACCTAAAGATTTGCACGGTCCTAAGCAAGCAAGCCAACTTAATATAAAGGATTTAAAAATGATGATCACCACATCGCGCGCTTTCAGATGCGCTTTCGCGGCGGTCTGGAACGCTCTTCCTTCCAATATTAGGAAGCCACTGGAGCTGTGCTCTTTTAAATCTAAAATTAAAACTCATTCTTGAGAACGGATTTTTGCGTTAAGTTTCTTGTCCAACTCCGATTAGCACGGTTGGCTACGTCCGGTGCGAAAAAAGTTCAGCATACACAGCATACAAGTACTACTACGGAGGAAAATCAACGAGGAGATAGCGAGTCCCTTCATTCCCTCCTGAACACACGGGGTAATCTGAGTGCACGGCGCTGCACCTGGCAAGGCATTCCAGGTCCTAGGAGCGGCGCCCAAGAAGGCACGACCACCCGGGGGCATCGGGTGCCGGATCCGTGGCTGGCAGTCAGGCCCTACTTTGACGATTGCAGCAAGTAGGCCCCCAGTCGAACAAGGGACCAACCGGGCCCGCAGGTACGTAGAGCCAAGACCGCGCACAGCTTTATAGGCCAAAATATCCAGCTTGTGCTGAATACCAAAGCTGACCAGAAGCCAGATACAAGGATCCCCCATATAGCTTTAACAGACTGTTGAGCAAGTGCTGGTAACGAGCACCTATGAAGGCCGAAACGGCACGCGAGGGGGTGGGTGGCCAGCGCCACGCCCGATACACACACGACAAACACGAGTGTGTGCAGTAGATGCACTGGGGGATGTGGTAAGATAAATATGCTAGGGGGTATTATAAAATCCAAGCATCTCAGACCCCCATATTACAATGCAACTAAAATTGTATGTGGTATCCCTTGCTTAAACAAATGTTCTTTGGAAAAATTGATTGGCAGGCTCCTCTATTGATGGATTGTTATTTAATTCCAGTGATAAAAAAACTTGTGTTCCATCACTTTATTATTTTACAGAAAAGCAGCCAGATATGTAGCTTTCCTCAGCCAAGATTGTGATTCACAATTGTTTTTTCTTTGTCAGGCCATGTCATGATCTGAACAATATCTTGTCACAATAACCTCCACCAACCTACGCAGCCAAGCAAATAAAATGGTCACGTTTACACGCGTTTTAATGCAACAGTTATTAATGCCCATCTAACCAGCAAGTTAAAGGACCAATCTCACAACCTGAAATTGGTGATGATGTTTTGCTTGAAACCACATCAAACATCGTCAGCAAAATCCAGGAAGTCGGAATAAAAATCCTGGAAGTCAGGATAACCGTGTCACCTAACCTGGCTTTGTAATGTACGCTTATTCTATTTTTATTGAAATTTACTATATTTTAGTTTTGCCCGTCTCAACGTCTCAATCACAATGGCTCTCTCTCAGTGCCATGCCAGTGTGACCAAAACTAAAAATGAATGTACCCTAAAAAGAGCATAAATCTTGCTGATCGTTCGCATAATTGACAAATATTGGTTCTTGGGCGAATACATTAGAAGTGTCACATGGGTCGTGAATCTATTTCAATGCATTGTTCCAGCCCTCCGGGAGAGACAAAGGTGATTAGGCATGGTGCTGCTGGCCATGCCACACTAATTCATTTGCCATTCCGGCTAAAACAGGTGTTGTTATAGCCGGCACAAGCCCCAATAGTACGTATGGCTACGGGGTCTTCATATGGCCCTCGGGAGTTGATGTGTCCCGGTAGGATAATGCGTGATAACACACCTTGTCAGCCTGCCTCATGTAGCAGTAAAGGATGCCTCGGACACACTTGACAGCGCAGTGCTCCAGCTCATGGGTCCTTCCTTTGTCATCGTCCAGGCGCCTGCGGGCAACAATGTGATCGTTCAGTGTGGCCGGCAGTGAGAAGTTAGAGGGAGGTGGGCAGCGGTAAGGGGTTGGGACAAGACATAAAGAATAACGAGTTGAGTTGAAAGAACATTGGCGAAAAACAGAACATCCCACACCTTAAGGCCTCCTCTCATTTTGTCTCCTTTATGTCACAAACAGGCAGCTTATCTGCTGTGCATTCCAACACTCTGTGTAGCAAAATGTCCATGACTTAAATGTTCTTTACTGCCAGTGTTGCACAATCCACACATTACACAGTTCTTGAGGAGGTAAGAAAAAGACTATCCTGCTTATTGCCGTGCGCCAATACACCAATCTTCTAAATTCACTTTTAAAGTAAACAGCAGACCACTTGAGCTTCTACGCAGATTAGCTGACATGGCACAATGTGCCGGGTGTTTAGTCCACGAGACTTGGCACTTCACCGCAATGGGATACACAGACAAGGGCACAAGCTGCACCTGGGTAGATTTTGCACGATGCAGGCAGAATGATGGAACATGTTAAGTTTGAAGTGCCAGCCAATTCCCTCCGGCCATGTCTGTCAACCAATCAACAATAATGCCAATGAATGTTGTAAATAAGGCCTCCTGTAAGACAAAATGTGAACTTGTCATAAAGTTTTAATCAATAAAATAAAACTAACCAAATGCACCAATGCTTTGTTATAGAAAAAAATATTGAAAGTAAACACATTGACAATTCATGCAATGTCCCCCTTCTTCAGAGTAGAGAGTACTCAATGGTTGACTCGGCATGAATGGCTTTCTGCAGATGAAATTGCATTATTGATTTCATGAGACAATGCATGAAACGAAATAAATAAGTACTACTAATAATGTGTATACGTAATGCTACGGGCACGGTGTTCACTCATTGGCGTAGAGAGAAACTCAGAGGCGCCAGGAACCACAGACAAGCGGGAAGGCAGCCAAGTGGTGAGCCAAGTGCCAAGAATTGATCTAAGCTCTGCAGTCCTCTATATATTAAGGTGTTATTGGCCAATTAATTCGTGTTTACACGTGGGAGGAAACCAAAGCAATCAGAGGGAACCCACGCGTGCGAAGGGGAAACACTCTATCCCACACAGATGGAACAGGTGGAGTTCAAATTGTTGCTGTACCACCTTCTCCTGGCGAGCCACTGTGTGGCATCTCGATGCCCACGGGAAGGGGGGAGTTTGATGACATTTGCTGGATTGCGGACATTGCACTACCGTCAATGGATTCAAATTTACGTTATGAACAATTTTTATTTTACCAGATAAGGCACACTGAGCTTATAGAGGTCTTTTTCTGAAGCGACCAGGCCACAAATGATAGCTCAACGAAATTTACAGCAGGGCAAAACACTCGAAACGCATGTTTGTAAATGTGGGAGGAAAGACGAGAGGACCCGGAAAAAAATACACGCAACCACAGGGATAGAGACACGCAAACTGCAAATATGCAGGCGTCAGGGTTGGGATCGAACCCATGCCTCTGAAGTAGTTAACATCTCGCCGCTGTAGCGAGAAAGATTTATTTTTCTAGCTCAATACATGATTAATATTTTTTTCATTATTTTTAATGTGGTTTTCTAAAAATTAGACTAATTAAACGGAAAAAATAATGGTATTTTAACAATATCCGCATTTTACAAAAATCTACTTTGAAAGCAGGAAGCTTACATTAATTGATGGGGGGAGAAAACATAATACAAATCAGTTCATAAATAAACTAAAAATATACCGTTTGGCAATTAAGCAACAACTAGGACATTTTGTGACAAAAATATTTTGCATGAAAACATACACCAGCAATTTACAATTTTGTACAAATTATTAATAACCCGAGACCATATTAGCACATTTTGGCTCAATTATTCACACTAGTAATGACATGAACAAAAAAGACTATAATTGAAATCTGAGGTTAAATCAAATTTTAACGCTTTTCAGCAAATTGTATATGAAGTCAGCCTCGGAGCTGCGTGAACACGAATTATAATCTGTTGCCATAGATTCTTGACGGAGTTAAGTATAGACATAAAGGGCTAAATGACACTGTAATATTTGTTTAATTTATAAAAACATATTTATGCTGGGCAGATCTACTGACACCTACAGTTAAGATCGGATGTCACAGGGGAGCAATTGGTATTTGAAAATTACCCAGGTACGGGAATTTGGTCAGTGCCAAATTTGTATTGACCTGCGGCAAGATGAAAGCCTTGACACTGGGGGTCAATGCCACGGTATTTTATTTTTTTTAAATGCCAAGGGATCTTAATGTCCATAGACTACCCAGTGTATGGTTTAACATCTGCAGTCACGACACTGACTAAACCACTGCAGCCCCCCTGGCAATGTGTGGGAGACACCCGTTGCAGCGCCGCTCCAAGTCGGAACATTGGCTGCTTTACGGACCGATCAATAGCACTTCCCTGTAGCAGCCAATTTTTATTTCCATCTAAATAATGACCAGGCTCATACTCTGCTTAGCTTCTGAGATATGAAACGATCACACTCAAAGAGATTACAATATACAGTATACCAACCTATTGAGCAAATAAATCATGTACATACCCGTACATGTAAGCACATATTGAAACACACATTCATTGTACTTATACATGCAACATAAAATATACACGTAGGATAAGTAAATACAAAATAGAGCATTCAAAGCATATACAGCCGCATTATAGACTTGGCGTGGGGCGGTGGTACAATGGTTAGTGCACTGCACGATGAACCCGGTACCCCAGTTGGACTCCTAGCCACAAATGATATTCCTGACAAGTGATATCATAACGGCTCCTCCCTTTCATCCCCTTTACCAAACAGCACCAAGCGGTGTGGTGAAAAAAAAACACACCCCCATCACTGACAGGGGGTGGTGGGGGGGAGGCCTTCATCCAGTGATGGAATGAGAAGAGCTGGAATTTTAGTATTTTTGTCACAAGATAGTTTAGTCAGCATAATGCAACATAGCTTAGTTCAATACAGTATGGCTCCAACTCATGAGACCATGGGTTCAGATCTCAGATCGAGTGTACTTATCCCATCACCCCGCGAGTCATTCAATAGAGCACCACTCGTTGCGGGAGTTGACAGTGGCTGTCCTTTCCTGAAACATAATAGACAACCACTACGGAACACTCACACACACAAGAGGCATCTATGTGTACACAGAGTATACCGCATGCACATGTGGAGACCAAAGCCAGAACACCAATGGGCCTAACTCTTGGCAATGTGAGGGGATCTTTAACGTCCACTCTGAAGCAGAGGGCGTGGATAATGATTAACACCCGCAGTGATAACCAGGGTGGCCCGCTGGTTTGAACCGTGAACCTCCGCAAACAAGTGGGCGAACGCGCAGATGCCGGGCCAATGTTGATGCCAACGCGAACCTGCCCTTTTCAAACCAGGCGGCACAACGCTTTGCTTGTCAGTACTGGAAAAACATTGGATTGCACATGTACATAATGTCCCCCCCACCCTGCCACTATAAATAAAAAAGTCCAACGAGCCACATTAGCAGCAGCGTCCGCAAAGTCAGTGCAGGCGCATTATTTCCCCGGAAGGAAGGCACTCGTTCAGATTCGCAAATTATACAGCGGCAGAGTCACGGGTCGGTCCTCTTCCGTGTCACTGGAGTTCCAGGCTCAGCAGAAATCGCTCGGATGTATTGACTCGGAGCAGTTTAGCATTTCAACAATCGTACGGGGGGCAGAGAAATCAATTTTACGGACAAGTCGCATTAAACACACGGACCGAGAAGACGTCACCTTGGTGTATTTACAAGATAAAGGCTACCTTAACCACAAGTGGGTTTTTCGAACACTCAAAAGTCCATTAGATGCAAATAAATAATAATCCCTTTTTTCACTTTCTGTGCAGTTCCCCTACTCGGCATGAATATTCATCGGTTTTTTGTACGCGTCAAGGGACAAAACAACACACCACGTTACGTTTCAGAAAGTTTAGACGCAAATTGCTTTTTGCATATATTTATTTAAATCGTTCGCAAAAGGCACGGCGCCGTTGTGAATTTAAATTTTCCAAGGAATCACAATTCAAGACTTTGAGCGAAAAAAGCTGGGGAATTGTGTGGTCCCTTCCACACCTTGATATAAAGTCCCAAGAGGGAGACTTAGCACAAAGGAATCAAGGGCTTGACGCGGTTCAAACGGTCAACCATTTTAAACGACTTCTCTCTTATTCTTGGTTCTTTCAGTAAAGTCACGTAGAACCAAGAATATGAATCCGTGCAGTCACGAAAGCTTTAAATCGGAATTCTCTCTTTCTTCGCCAATTGTAATTTATTTAAATGGATTCTCAGCTCTTAAATTCAGCTTATAATTTAATCATGGAACATGTAATTTATTTTTATATTAAAAAAGTATATTCAGAGTTTTGATTTTATAAAGGCTTCTAATATCGCCATTTTATATTATTATTAGATTACAGTATTCGTTCAGGGAGTCCCAATGCTTGTATAATTACTTGCAAAGACGTTGACTGTAATGTTACATTAACAAGAAAAAGTTAATGGAGCAACACATTAAATGTTGTCTAAAATCAACGAAGGCTCCCACTCATTAAACATGAATTGTATCAACAAATAAGTTAATAGACCCATTTACCGCCCTCATACAGGATGAAGGCCTCTCCATGTCCGTCACGGAGGTTATTTTACCATACTTCACCACACGTTTCAGTACAGGTTGGCGAAGTGTTTTTATTTTATTTGAAGGGCGCAGGAAGGGCAGGACAAGATCAGATATCACTCAGCACAGATGTTAGTCGCAGCCAGGAATCTAACTCAGGTTATCTAATCTAAAGCGGCATACACCAGGCACTGCGCCACTACTCTACCCCACGTGATAAATTATACCAAAGTATATATTAAACAAAAACGTTATTCACGTGTTTGCTGGTTCCTATTATACCTTACTAGTTATGGGCATGCTGAGTGAGAGTTAACG